ACAATAAACACGTGTTATCTTTAGATAAAAATGACATGACTCAATTAAATGAAATCCAATGGTTATTCATGATCAAGAAACAAATATCAAAAATATTGATTTAATATATAAGGAAGAAAACAATAATATTGTTAAAAATGACAGTGATGATAGTTAAATATGATTTTATATTATTTAAAAAAATGTTTTTAATTAGAAAACAAGGAGATATTAGATAAATAATTTTAATTATTTCAATTATAATATTTTTTTATCATTATTATACTTTAATGTAATTTTTTTATTGAATTATATATATATATATATATATATATATATGAATTTATGGTAAATTATTATTAATATAAATAAATTAAAATTCTAATGATAAATGATGTATTGTTATTAATGAATATTTTATAATATTATTAACACAATATTTTCCTAATAGAAAAATAAATAATTCTTTTATAATTACTTTTAATATAATAAAATCAAATAATAATAATAGTAGTTTTATATAATATTACATAAATTAGTAACAAATTAATTTTTTAGTAATAAAATAATAGAAAATAAGTGAATATTTTTTAATAATTACAATAAAAACAAAAAAATAATAAATGATTAATAAATTAAAATATAAAATATTACAATTTTATATCGTTTTTGTTATTTCTTTCTATTTTATTTATAATATATATTTCACGTTTCTTCGTGTTAAACTAACGGCAATAAAATGTTGAAAAAATATATATTAAATATATTAGTTACAAAAATATATAATAAAATATAGTTTTTATTTAAATATTATTTATTGAAGTGAATAATAGTATAGATATATTTTATTTTTTTAAAAATTTCATTTTATTGAATATAAACTTTCTTTTATTTTTTTTAATAAATTAATAATATAGAATATATATCAAAATATAAGTATAGATTTTATGTTAAAAATATATTTAAAATAATTTTTGTATGATAAAGATAAATAATTATTAACTATATTGAATTTATATTTATTAGTTTTCAAGAAAAAAGTTGTTTCATTGTCAATGTAAGTAATATAATAATAATATAATTTTTTATTTAAAAGAATCATATAAAAAACTTTAACACAATTGAGATAAAAATATTAGGTTATATGAAAATTTCAGAGAAAATGTTAAATTATTGTTATAACTAATATTATCTTAGGAAGTGAATAATTATTGTTATTTCTTTAAAGAATAATATAAAAATCTTTAATATAAGAAGTTAAATATAAAACTAAAGTAATTTAACCCGTATTAATGAATATTGAGAATACTTAAAGAATGAATTAAAATAATTACGAAAAAAATAATATAGAGATATATAAGATGTGTTAAAAGAAATACTTTAATTTATATATATATATATATATATATATATATATATATATATATATATATATATATTATAGAAAGTCATGACTAATTTTTTTCACTTGATTATTCTTTAAAAAATCTTTAATAACACCTCTTAAACAATTATTTAAAAATAATATAATTCAACAATATGTGTTTGTAAAAAATAACAATAATTGGATTGAATTAAATAGTATGTTTTTATGAAATAAAAAATTCATATAATTCTAATTACTTTAAAATATTCTTATATTTTATCTTATTTATCTATATTATTATTAAAGATAAAAATAATTAACTTAATAATAATGAATAAAATTATTAATTAAATATAAAATTAAGGTAACAGAATTTTTTTCTTATTTGTTGAAATAAAATTTTGAATTTAAGAATTTCAAATAATATAATTTATTAAAGATATAAAACTAAGTGAAACTCAAAATCATGGTGTGTATACTTGGTAACTATTTCTATGTTTTACAAGTACATTGTCAATGTTTTAAATAAGAAAATTAACATTTGTATCGTAAATAATTGATTGAAATGGGAGTGTAAGAGAAGACAATTTTAATATTTTATTTATGAATATAATATATATATATATATATATATATAATTTAATAAAATTTATATTAATGATATTTTTATAAAAAGTAATATTATTATATAATATTTTATATTTATAACTAATTATTTGTGACATATATGATTTTTTATTTTTAAGAAAATTATGATAATAATTTGTAAATTAATCATCATTTAAAATAATATTTATAATAAATATATATTTTTATTATTTTTATGAATTATAGTGACAATTTTTAATTTAATCACTAATGTGTGAATAATATTTGTATAAATATATTATTTTTGTTATTTTTAATAAAATTATAGTGACAATCTTTAATTTATAGTAGTATTTGTGATAAATTAAGAATTCTTCAATTTTATATTTATCACTTAATTTTTATCATTAAAAAGAATAAAACTTTATCTCATAAGCAAATAACATATTGCACTTATCTTTTCTTTTATTTCTTTAACATGTCCGATCTTTCTTCTTAAATCGTCACATTGTGAGTAAATCCGTCTTCACCAAAAGTATATTACCAGAAACAGTTTTTATAAAATTTTAATATTAATTTATTTGTTTATATTATGAATGCATTAGTCATCAAAGAAAAGTTGATTTGACACCATTATATGAAATCTAATTCATAATCATGTTTATAATTTCCATCCTGATTCTACTAACACCGAAATAATGATCTAATTTAAAAAAAAAATGAAGACAGTGACCTAGAAAAAAATACTACCATTCCATTGGCACCTCATTTCATTATATTTAGACTATTTTAATAAATAAATCATTTTATAAAACAAATATTTTACCAAATTAACTTTTAAGTAGGTGTATCATTTATTATCTTTATTTATCACATCAATAATTAAACTAGAAAAAAATCTATATTAATATTTTATAAAAATCTAATAAATACTTAAAAATTTATAAAAATATTTTAATAAATAAGAAATTTTTTAAAAACAGTATATTTTATGATTGATATGAGGAAGTGAACACCACTGTGGTCCTACTTCTACTAATTAGGACACTTTATCATTATTTTGACATGCCCGGTAACCAATTAATTTGACTTTTTATGCTCCACTAATTATTCATTGCAGCACAACTATTCTAACTTGACTATAAAACAAAACAAAACAAAAAGGACAAACTTTCCACATGAAAGATTGATTTGATCAATGTCTCCCATTTTAAATTATTATTTTTTATTTCTTTATCAAGCGTTTTCCTGTTCCTCCCTTCCATCATTTGATTGAATGGGACAATGGGAAGTAAAAAAAAAGTGTTTTATTTAAATGAAAAATATATAAATATAATATATATTTATATATTTTAAACATTTATTTATATAATTATATCAAATAAATATAAATATATTTTTTATTTATCATAAAAATATATTTATATAATTATATTATTAATATATTTTTATAAATATAGTAATACAAAGATATTTAATATATATATATATATATATATATAATATTTTAATTTTTATTTAATATAAATTAGTTGAAGAAAAAAATAAAAAATAATTTATAGAAATAATAAATAAAAAATAAATTTATAAAAGACATTATATGAATAATAATTTATTAATAATAATTTTGATGTAAAAAATTAGAAAAATATAAATAAAATATAAGATTATATATTAAAAGTTATTGAAATTGTTTAATATAAATTATATAAAAGATTTTTTTATTTGTTTTTGGAAAATAATATTAAAAAAATAATTATATACCTAGATAGACTCTCCCACGTTATTTACCTAAATAAACATATTTAAGGTTGTCACAATCAATATCGCGACTGAACTACAAAATTATGCTTCTAAATAAAAGAAAAGTAATGAAGTCACCACCAATATTTATTTTAAGGAAAAATATTGAAAAAACCCTTCAAAAAGAAAAGAAAGTGGTTTACGAAATAAGGGTTGAGTTCGAGAGTCAATTATGTGTAAGGAAGATATTAACACCTTACAACATTCGTTCTAAAAAATGGTTACCTTTAATTAGACATAAAAAATTTAAATATCTTAAAATTATTTATTTTATCTCTCAAACTTATATCGATTAAATGTTACTACTAAAAATAAAAGATTATATATTTTATATTTTTAGCTCGACAAAGTTCATCTCCTTGCTCTTACGTATCCCATGTGCAATGGAGAATCGGAGTAATGTAGTTTTTTCTTTCAAATATTGATGAATAATTTATTTTTGTTTATCTATTTATGTTGTTAAGGTAAATGTAGGTTAAAAATTATGTAATAATCAAATTATAAGTACATCTAAAGTGATTATCATTTTTATAATTTGAATAACAAATAAATTGGAAGTCCATCTAAAGTAATTTAAATATTTAAATTATCGTACTTGTAACTTTTATTTAGATTTAAAATGTATATATTTTTTTAAATATTTTATTATAATCAAATCAAAAGTATGATTATAATTATTTTATATCAACCAAATTAGATGTGTATCCAAAGTGGTTAAACTTTTATGAAATATTTTCTTATTACTCTAATAATAATAATATTGCATGTTTAATAGTACTCGAGAAAAAAATGATAATTTAATTGTCACTATACTAATAATGATATACTAATTTAAATTATTTTAAAAAAATTTAAAATTATCTTTATTCAAATAAAATAATAATAATAATAATAATAATAATAATAATAATAATAATAAATTTTTGTATTTGTAACTTATTTTGTTATGTTGTTCAGTTTAAAATAAAAAAAATATATTAGGCCCAATAACTCATAAAAAATTTTCAGATTACCATTTGAAACCTTTTATGTTATTTTTCACCCCTTTCAATTTGGGCAACACGTTTTTTCTAGCCCACTTTGTCCTTTGGCCCATTTTTTCACTTAAGCCTCTTAACCTAAACCTAATGGAGGGGCTACGGCTGTCGGGTGAGGCGCGATAGAGAATCACACACGGCTAGGGTGCGCGGTGGCTAGCTATGAGCAGCGTGGTGGCCTAGCGACTAAGGCTGGTGCGGTGTGGTGGCGATGTTCGTGATCATTGATGGATTTGGTGGGAATTGCGACTGAGGTTCTCGATGGAGATCTTTGTTGTAGTTCGCAAATCACAATGGAAGAAATGAAGTCGGAGTTGAGGATGGAGAAGGGAATCAGAGCTTAGGGATGTGATTGGGGAAGAAGACTGAGCATGCTTCGGAATGGTGAGGGGATTTAAGGGAACTGCCGGGTTGAGGGTGAATGGCTTGTTGGGAACGAAGATGGTGAATGGTTCGGTTGGGCGTGGTGGCCAGTGTTTTTGTCGGGGCTGTGGAAGATGAAGGAGAATAGAGTTGGGTATATGGGTGAAAATGTGGGTATCATGTGGGGTGCGGGTCTTAAGCGTTAGGTTATGGCTGGTCGTGGCTCGCAGTGGTTGGCGACTAGGGTTTGGGGTGAATGGGAGACAATAAGTGAATAAGATAGAGAAGGGAACCATAGTGGTGCTAGTCATGTGGGCTTAAGGTTGGTGCTCTGTGGTGGCCGTGGTGAGTGGATGGAGGCTGAAGGTGGTGATGCAACGGTATTAATGATAAATGAGTTTTTTTTTTTTAATTTTTATTAATCATTATAAAATATGTGCAACATATTTAGGTATACAACAAATACTTCAGGTTACCATTAAGAATTGGGAACATGATACAAATACTACTACAAATTGGGAACTTGGGAACATGTTGATTGTTGGTTGTTTGTTGGTTGCCTCTATTGCCTCTGTATTGCTGTTTTTGAGTTGAGTCCTTAAACTGTTAAGGGTTGTCTGATGGTGGATGCCTTGTTTTTTTATGTTCTTCTTTTCAACTCAAAACCAAAAGTTTTTTCAAGCCCCTCCCTCCTCCATTTTTGACATTTTCCTCTCAATTTATATAGGCATGGTAACATGGAGCTAGAGCTTAGGGTGGCTGCTGGAGCTTAAGATGGCTATTGTAGGGTGACTGCTATTTTTTTACCTTATCTTTTTGGTGTTTACAGTTGTCCCTCTTTAATTAAGTTTTATTGGATAATTTGAATGTGAATTTATATTATCATAATAAAACATAATTAAATATGTGAACACCAAAATACTATAAATATAATTGTGATTTGAAAAGTTGAAAATTTGAGAATCGACTCGGGGATCCAATATTGCTATTGAAATATGCAAATAAAATTGTGATTTGAAAATTTGAAAACTTGAGAATGGACTTGGGGATCCAATATTGCGATTGAAATAGGAAAATATAAATAAAATTATGATTTGAGTATACTCAAGGATATATGCAAATATTGTGATTTGAAAAGTTGAAAACTTAGAAGTGGACTCGAGGATATCCAATATTATGATGAAATATGCAAAAATAAAATTGTGATTTGAAAAAGTTGAAAACTTAGAAGTGGACGCGGGGATCCAATATTGCAATTGAAATATGGCGATTGAAAATTTAGAAGTGGATTCAGAGACTTAGGGCTTGGGGACAAATAGAAAGCTATGATTTGAGGTGTTGAAAGCTTGGAAAGTAATGCATATAATTTAAACCTTATAAGAGGCATGGGAAATTTTGTAAGGGGCGTGAGAAGCTAACACGAATATTTTCGCACCCTTCAACTATTGGCACAAGTCTAATTATTTTGGGGCACAGAGACCCAGTATTAAAACTTACTTTGGACACAAAGACCTGGTATTAAAACTCTCTAGATAGATATATATTAGATGGAACAAAGGTTAAATAGTTATTTATTCTTAACTTAAACAAGTAATGCATGATACTTAATTCACAAATAAAGTGTATGATATGTAATTTACAAATAAAGTGCATGACATGTGATTCACAAATAAAGTATGATATGTAATGCATAATGTGTGGTGTGATATGCAAGTTCATGATGGGTGCATGATGCATGTACTTTTGATTAATGATTTTTGTTTTTTATTATTATTATTATTATTATTATCATTATTATTTTATTTTATTTTATTTATATTTATTATTATTTTTTATGCACATTTTCCTACGCCTTGACCTCTTAAGATTTTGAGTGTATTAAGATTCATGGAGAGAAGCGAGTCTTTGAAATGTATTTTCATTCTAAAGCATGTTGAATTCGTCTTCTTCAATTGGATCATGGTTATGCTTTGCTATTTAAGATTCGAATTGTCAACAACTGGTTGTTCTTGCCCACATCACTTCGTTTTCATTTTTTATTTTATTTTTTCAAATCATCACATTTTCATTATAATGCATTATTAACATTATGACATGTTCCTTTATTGAGATATTCATGATAAAATGACATAAAGAGGTGGTGATTGAGACAATTTATTTTTATTGCTAGGAATGGAAAGAGTGCATACAAAAATAATTTTGTTTAAGGAATATAAGTGACAATTTGAGGGGTTTTGGGTAACAATGTTAATCCCCATGTTTACAATTTTGAAAAGCTCATTCGTCAACCTTTGTAAATATACGACAATTTGTGGTTTCATCCTTTGAGTAATTTTGTGTATATCAATCTTCTAACTTGCCCTCTCATTTTTTGAACTTTCGACATTGTAGGTTGCTCTGATTTTTATATAGATTGTCTTTTCAGGTTTTCAGTCAAGTAATTTTATTTGCCCCTATCTTTCCTAAACTGATCCTTTCAAGTTTTCAGCTTATTGGGTTGTTCAATTTTTCCTAGACCATCTTTTTAGATTTTTAGCCTAGCGAACCCTTTTTTTCTTTCTCTCTCTCTTTTTAGGCATAGTATTTCTTAACTTCATCTGAATTGATTGGGAGTGATAAATATTTATCATCCATGTTTGAAGGGACAGGGGAACCTCCTGAAAAAGCTTTCTTTACCACATATGGTCCTTCATAATTTGGCATCCAATTTTCTCTTTGATCTTTCTGAGTTGGTAAGATCTTCTTGAGGAACAAATCTCCTTCACGAAATTGTCGAGGGTGGACCTTTTTCTCATAGTATCTTTTCAACCTTTTTTGATACAACTGTCCATGACATCGAGCGATCAACCTTTTTTCTTCAATAAGATTCAATTGGTCAACACGAGTCTGGATCCATTTAGCCTCTTCGAGTTTTGTTTCAGCCAACACCTTTAGAGAGGGAATTTCTACTTCAACTAGAAGCACTGCCTCCATCCCATACACCAAAGAATATGGAGTTGCCCCTGTAGAAGTTCGAACAGAGGTGCGATATTCGTGTAGTGCGAAGAGCAACATTTCGTGCCAATCCTTGTATGTAACTACCATCTTTTGGACAATCTTCTTTATATTTTTATTTGTTGCTTCTACTACCCCATTCATCTTTTGACGATATGGTGATGAATTATGATGTTGAATCTTAAAATTATCACACAATTATTTCATCAGCTTGTTATTCAAATTAGTCCCATTGTCCGTAATGATCTTGTTTGACAAACCGTAACGACAAATTAAGTCCTTCTTGATGAACTTAGTCACTACATTCCTTGTCACATTAGCATATGGTGCTGATCCGACCCATTTGGTGAAGTAATCGATTGCCACTAAGATGAAGCGATTTCCATTTGATGCTTTAGGTTCAATTGACCCGATTACATCCATACCTATCGTCACCGTCAAAAGAGACGGTTGGAGCGACGCGATGGTTTGTATGACTCACATTTTTTAAAGAAGATGTTCAACGCTTTTAGGTAGTTCGATAACCAGGATGAACCTGAAGACGAGGTTTTCGTAAAGGGTTCTATGGAGTCGCCACCGATATTTTTATCGTAAACACCGAAAAAGGAAGAAAAGACGTTGGTTTTAGAAAAACCAACTTTGACTGTTACAACCAGAGTTGGGTAAGGGAGTTAGTTATGTTTGGGGAAGGTATTAGCACCCCGCAACGCCCCTTTCGGGTTCCCTATGATGGACTAGTTCATAAAATAAAGACTGAAAGAAACTATGCTTTTACCCTATTTATTTATCTACTGGCAGAATTTAAATATCTACATGGTCCTAGTATCTAATGCATACAAGGAAAGCAATAAAGAAAGTAGTAAAAGAGAGAGAATAGAGAAGGAACCTCCGAAGCGAGTTTTCTATTAACTCTTCAAAACTTGAGGACGCTTTTTGGCTATCCCCTCGCTCTACAAGCACGCTCCTCACCCGCAACAAAGAAAAAGATCACTCTACCGAGCGCCGGATGTCTCAAGAGGAGACCTCCTTAACCGATTTCTACCTTAACGAAAATCGAAAAGCTTACTCGAACTCTGGAATAATGCTCAGAGTCACTCTCAAGTGTCAAAAGACTTACAAGAGAGTAGTAGGAGTAGCAGGCTAGGACGACCGTCTGGACTTCTGACAGGTGAGACGGCCGTCTGGGATATCAAGACGGTCGTCTCAGGCTCAGAGAAAGGTGAGACGATCGTATGGCCAAACGAGACGGCTGTCTCGTGCTTCAGGGAAAGTGAGACGACCTTCTGGCCAAACGGGACGGCCGTCTCGAGCCTCCTGTCAGTTTTTTTCTATTTTTCTTATTTTTTGTGTATAGAAAGTTCTCCTATTCTTACATGGAGCCTAGTGAACATGCCTAGGGGCCTAAAGAAGCCTTGTCCATCTTCGAACATAGGTTTTCTGGTCTTTATTGATAAGTTGGACAAGATTTGGGGTCTACATCTGCCTCCCCTTCACCTGACCAATTGACTATGGGCTAATGTGCCATGAAATCGATTGATGGGTGAAGGAGTTAACCCTCTTTTGGGGGATATCAGAACAACTTCGATCCCGTGTCCAAGCATATTCGAGGCTCCATCGAAGAACATGGTCCATGCATCGTCTTTGGGTTCTTCGTGTTGGATATGCATGATATGTTCATCTGGAAAATCGTCTTGTAGGAATTGATATTCGTTTGTTGATCCGTATGCTAGGTAGTATACCAGTGGACTACCTTTGATAGCTTTTTGGGTGACATAGACAATGCCAAATTCTGAAAGGAGTACTTGCCACCTAGCTATTTTTCCGGTCAGGACAGGTTTTTCAAACAAATATTTGATTGGATCCATTTTGGAAACCAACCAAGTCATGTGCCTAACCATATATTGCCTGAGACGTTGAGTTGCCCACATCAATGCACAACATGTTTTTTCGAGTGGTGTATAACGGGTCTCATAATCTAGAAATTTTTTGCTGAGGTAGTATATAGCTTGCTCTTTCTTTTCCATATTGTCTTGCTGACCGAGAACACATCCCATAGACTCATCAAGTACTGATAGATAAAGAATCATAGGTTTTCCTTCAATGGGAGGCACCAGTACTGCTGGATTGGTTAAGCACGACTTAATTTTCTTGAAAGCTCATTGGCAATCCTCATTTCAAACTGTTGGTTGATTTTTGCGCAACAACTTAAAAA